AAAAAATCCACAAAAGAACTATGTTATGCAGAAAAATAAACTAAACTTTTGCCTCAGGGTCACATCGAAATTCTGTACCAAATTTAAAATAAAATTTTAAATTGAAAAATAATTTCTATTTTTTTTTATTTTTTTATTTCTTTTTGGCCCGGCCGGGCAAGTGGACCCGGGCCACTCTGGTAGCCTAGCAAAAAACAGAAAAATTCAAAGTTGGAGGGGCGGGGAATGAAAAAGTGATGAAGAAAGAGAGATAGGTGAGAAAGAGAAAAAGATTGAATTGGAAGGTGGGGGGGATGATGGGGTTGTAGTTGGGGAAGGGAAGGAGGAGAGGAGGGTGAGAGAATGGGAGAGAATGAAATGAGAAATGTGGAGAGGAGTAGAAGAGACTAGTAGAAGATGGTGAGTAGGGGGGAAGGAGAGAAGAAGATGGTGGGAGATGAGTGAAGAGGGAGGTAGGAGGAGGGAGTAGTGGTAGAGTTAGAAGAGATGATGAGATGGTGTAGGGGGGAGAGAGAGAGGGTGGGGTAGGAGAGTAACTTATTGAAAAGAGGTGATAGCAGGCTCTTGGTTGGCCAAGAGCAACAATATCACCAAGATCCAAGTAGATCTTGGCCTTCAAGGTGCTGCTAGCCTGCTGCTGCAGCAGTAGAAAAAGTAATCATCATCATCATCATCATCATTTGGGTGTGCTGAGACCTTGATCAGCCACCCAGGTCTCATCGTAGTAACGCCCCCTAGCCAGGGGGGTCTTCAGGATCTTCAGCAAGCTCCCTCGTGGCACGGCAAATGGTCATGTGCGCAGGCAGCGGCTGCCGCAACATGCCCGGGGGTTAAATAGTTGTTGTGGCAGTTCTTCAACACCAACGAGCCACATTACTGGAACATCTAGCCAAGTTCAAATCCTGGGGCGGCACTCCAGACATTGATATAATATAATCCGGAGCAGGGCGGGGCAGCGGGCTCGCTTGGGCGCGTGCGGCTGCGGTGGCCTTGGCCTTGGCGCTTGCGCGCACGCGTTGTTGTGACACTCCTTTTTTCGCACCTTTGCGCTCCAAAACATTGACGCTCCCCTTTTTCACCACGTTGTCGGGCGGCTGCAGACCAGTCGGCCACCCGACATCCAAGGGATCTGTCCCTCGGCCAAGCGTACGGTTAGGATTTGGCGGGCACTCGTGTCGGAACCTTCGGGGAAAATTAGGGGTCGTCAAAGGAACCCTGAATTCCCCTGTGTTGACTGCGGGAACTAACCCTTGAATTTAATAAGTTGAACAGCCGCCTCTACCGAGCGCGGCGCTTGACTTTTTTGCCTGTTCCGAGGCTATCTTAAATCATCCAGCTGAGTGGCGAAAGTACGCTTGCGAGCCTTCGCGCAGCCCTTTCCACACTGGTCAGTTGGCGAGGAAAGGGACCTAATGTTTTATCTAATTTAAATGATGAAATTAAAAATAAGGAATAAAATTAAAAAGATAAAAAGGAATTAAAAATGATTAATTATTTTAGGATTTAATATTTTTTTGATCAATTCCAGCCTTGTTGATATCAACCGAGATTTTTCTATTCATTTTCTTTTTGGTCTAAACGGAATTTTTCCATTTGATTATTCCCCGCTGATTCAAATCGATATTAACTACTTATTATCCCACCTCGATTTAGTCTTAATTTTCCCTACGTGCTACCCTTGTTATAGTCCTCTTATATCAGCGTACATACGGGGGGTTGTCTACCATGTGATATTGAGTACTTGTCACGGGATACTACATTGGTCGGTAGAGGTATGCCGATGGAACAGCGATAAGGGTCTTGTGGAAACGACACCCGACTATGACAGGTGTTTGGCCAGCAATGGTACTGGCCACCGCAGTTCGAGAAGGTCACTTCGGGTTCGGTGTTGGTACAAGACTTGAGCTGGTTGGTGCAGTCGCTGGTTGGGCACTGGCACTGTGCTGGAACAACATGTTGCGGTTGACCCTATTATTTTGTGTAAGGCCACTGGTCCGACATTTGGTACAGCGTACCGCGGCGCGGTATTGCTGTTTTGGTGCATTCTGGCTTGTGACACTTTCGTTACTCAACGTGGCATCGAGACGGAATTGCTACGACACTCTCCGGGATGAAGGCCTTAACTTGGCACCGGCTACTGAAAACCGGGTTTACTAAATTGGTACGGAAACTGGTCCAGAAATGGCTGCAGGTACGGTGATTGAATTGGAATCTACTAACTCAAAAGACACTACCCCGAGGGTACTGCCCTTGGTGTTACTTGAGGGCCTTGGGACACGCACTCTACTGCAGGTGACACTGGTTTAATTCTGCAGGCCCTGAAATAGGCCTACCGGTTTAAATCCTCGGTACCAACTGAAGGAACGGCTGTTGTGGGTGGTAAAAGCCCTTAGTTTGAGGGCCTGGTACGGGTACGATCAGCGCGATCCTCAGCAGCGGACAGGCACCAGCCGCAAGGGCCGGGGTTTCCCACCGGGCTGATAACGCAGCCTGGAAGCAATATAGGGGGCCCAAGCAGTAAGAAGGGGGGGGGTGAGTAGACAGGCGTGCCTGCGTACACCGCCCACTGAAGCAGTTAATCATGCATCTCGGTGAACGGGCGCGAAGACTGCGCTGGGGCATTCGGACTGCTCACTGTGTGCATTGCGTGCACAGGTGTGAACGGGCGAGAGGACCGCACAAGGGATAATGACATGCGAAGTAGCGCGGTGAGGGAAGTGTACCTGGTGTACACTGCGCACAACTCGGTTCAGAATGAGGAATGGGATGATCACGTGGAGGGAGAAGGAAATTCAGCAGAGAAGGAGCCGGGGGGATTGACACGGGGCAGACGGAGAAGTGTACCTGGTGTGCCCCGCCCACGCGTGCTTTTCGGCCTGGGCTGATGTATACCGGTTGGTGGAAGCGAAGGAGGAGAGTGGAAACACCGTGCACAGAAGACGTTTGAACTTTGGATCTCGGGCGAGCAGTGGGAAGACTTTGTGCCTAGCGCTCACAGCTCAAAGCATCCTGGTAGGAGCCTGAATATTCTTGTTGGCAGATGCAAGCGACAGATGGGGAGACGGTGTTGAGTGGAGGGCAACCAATGACCTCATGGGGGACATCGTGAACACGGCGTGTGCGGGACGAGTCATGTAAACAGAGGAATCAAAGGGGGGGAAGGATGCTACCTTTGCTCATCCCGCTGTTGGTGAGACAATCAGTCTCTTTCGCTGGTGAAACAAGTAGTCACTTTCGCTGGTGAGGCAATCATCCACTTTCGCTAGACAGCCAGCCATTCTCGCTGATGAGGCAATCAGCCACCCTCTCTGAAAAGACAATCATCTATTTTTACTGAAGAGGCAATCATCCACTTTCGCTGGTGAGGTAGCCAGCCATTCTCGCTGACAAGGCGATCAGCCACTCTCCCTTTGAAAAGACAATCATCTATTTTACTAAAGAGACAATTATCCACTTTCGCGGGTGAGACAGCCAATCATCTTCAGTGATGAGATAACCAGCCACTCTCTCCGACGAGACGATCAGACGCTCTCGTTGAAGGGAGGATAAACCATTCCCTCCCCTTGAATGAGAGCGAGGAGGAGAAGGACGAGAATCTGAATCCTTGTTCCCAAGGAAGACTATCCAGTTATTGATAATCAGGTATGTGTAAGAAGTAGTTGGGAAAAGCATTGAGTCATGCCGGGAATATCAAGTGCGAGCGGGTCTACCTCCAAAGGTCTAATCTGGGGAGTTAGAAAGGACCTTTAGGAATAGGAGCGAGAGATGTAAGCGGGGATTTGAGAAAGTCCCCTTTGTTGTTTTTTTTATTTATTATTATTATTATTTTTTTTTTTTTTTTTTTTTTTTAATTGTTAATATTTAGGTAAAAAACTTGTTGATAATCTTGTTTTCCTATGACATATGACGGGCCTGAATCATGATTGGGCATTTTCAAGCTTGACCCGGCAGACTGAAAAACAGGGCCGGAGAGAGAGAGAGAGAGAGAGAGAGAGAGAGAGAGAGAGAGAGAGAGTTACATGCTGCGCCTGCACACGAGGGCCATTTTCCAGGCCTTGCGTCCCTCAGGCTGAAAGCCTGAAAACCAGGGCCTACAGGCCCCGTGACTGTTCAGCCCGAAAGCCTGAAAATAGGGGCCTACAGTCCCTGTGTCGTTTCAGACTAAAAATGGCAATAGCCTTTTTAGCCTGAACCGAAGGGCCATTTTCGGTCGTTCATCAGAACGACCGACCGTGAAACTCAGGCACCGAACCAGGGTTTCGGGAACAGGCTATTCTTAGCCTGCCTGTTCCCACGCCAGCCTCAAGCAGCTGCTGCAACGCCAGCCCCTGGCACACTTCGGCATTGGCAAGAGCAGCCTCCTCGGCCTGGCTCGCCCTTCAGGCAGTCAGGAGGCAGGCCGAGGTAGTACATAGGGACTTCCCATGCACTTCACGGGTAGGCAGGAGGCAGTAGTAGTCTTCAAGATTCGACAGCAGCACTCTGGAGGGAGCGCTGCAGGAACAGTAGTAGCGTTAGCCTTAGTCTTCAGCGCTGGGCGCAGTAGGTAGCTGTAGTCTCCAGCGCTGGGCGCCATAGCTAGGATAGCACTAGAGAGAGAGAGAGATTGGGCGGAGGCCAGAGGTACTTACCTGCAGCGCCGTTGCTCCAGTTTCGTCTTCGAGGTACCTGCAGCACAGCGCCCACATCACAGGTTAGTATCTGGCTCGTAACAGGGAGAGAGTTCTTCTTCTTCCTCTTCTCAGTCCACCATCTCCTTCTCCCCCTCTCATCATTTGACTTCACTGCATCTGTAGACTACGAGAGAAGAGAGAAAGAGCTTGGTGACATCGGATCCAGACTCGACTTTTGGACTTCAGACATTGCAACGAGGGATTATTTGGGACTGGTGACAAAGACTTGGTGTTGGCAACATTCCCATCTCTCTCCCTCCTTCCGTCTGATTCCCTCCTCTTCGTCTGTGTATGTCTGGACCTGTTGCTTTCTTCCTGTGTACAGCGCCAGGCTCGTTCACACCTGGTGATGGATACGATGTATGTTTGGTCTGCGTTCAAACATTGATTGGGCTAGTCATTAGCATTCTAGCATTCTGCTTCGCTATTTGCTACTATGTGAATGAGGTCAGTCCCGGTCAGGTCAGGCTTTGTATCTAAGTCTTCCCTGCGCTATTCAGCACCATTTTGTATGTATTAGAATGCACATTGCTTGTTGAGATTCTACTTGCACTGCATTGTCCATTAAGTCCTTTTTATCACATTGCGGATCCTCGGTTTCTATGTACATCGCCCAACTGGGCATGTAACACAGAGAGGGAGAGAGAGAGAGAGAGAGAGTGCAAGTTGAGAAAAGGGGTGGACTGAGTGTCACTGAGTGGGTGAAGAGGACGGCGTCACCGCATGCATGAGTGAGGGCGTGCTACGACGAAAGAACCAGCGACATTTTCGTTCTCTTTACTATTGTTTCCTCTGCAGTAATGGCTCGACTCTTTGTTTGTGAACCGAAAGCCCCCCCGAGATGCAACTTTAATGACCACGTGCTCTATTTGGAAGGGAAGCGGTAAAAAGCAATAGTTTGTAAGTGTCTGTGAGTGTGTGAGTGTGAGTGTGAGTGAGAGAGGGAAAGTGAACAGAGAGGATAAGAGCATAAAAAGGGAGAGGGGAAGTTTAGTAGAGAGCGAAGGAGAATGCAACTAGAGGGAGAAGCTGGGAGTGATAAAGCAGCGATAGTAAGTAACGAGTGAATGCGCACAGTGCTGGTTCCTGATTGGGCCAGAGACACAGCAGTGCTCGAGGGCCAACTTCGAAGAGTCAAATAGTGAGCGAGCATGGGAGAGGGAGCGTGAAGGGAGAGAAAGAGAAGGGGGCTGAAGAGATGGACTTCCTTTCTGATGCAAGGCACCAAGCCTCGTGAGTAGTAAGGGTCGCTTCTCGTAGGGCTGATTTTAGGGCACCGAGAGAAGCAGCATTTGCTGACTAATACCCGCTGGCTGCTATAGCACCATCATTGTTCTCGGGGGGGGGGGGGGGGGGGGGCGGGTTCATCGAGAAAAATCGAGAAGACGAGCATGGCAGATGAGCATCGGCTGCCGGTTTATCTGTTTGGAAGTACCTATCTGTAAAATCCCTCTACGAATTACACATATGAAGAGAGTATCATTGTCAAGATCAGATCCCTCTGCCGTTGTCTGTAATCTGAGCTGTTTTTCAAGATCTGTTTTGAGTATGGGAAAGTGGTTTGCGAACTGTGACAGGACACTCCCTCTGCCGTTGTGTCTAGTCTCACTTATGATTTGATCAATTGTTCACTTGGTGATGTTCCACTTCACTCATTCCTTGCTTCACTAGTCATGTGGAAGTGTTTTGTCTAGTCGAACTCGTGATTTGATCAATCCTTCACTTGGTGATGTTGCGCCTCACGCATCGGTTGCTTCACTAGTCATGTGCAAGTGCTTTGTCTAGTATCACTCGTGCGTTTTGTCAACCCTTTACTTGGTGATGATCCGCTTCGCTCTTGGTTGCTTCACTAGTCACGTGCAAGTGTCTTGTCTAGTCTCACTCGTGCACTTCGTCAATCCTTCACTTAATGATGATCCGCTTCACCTTTGGTTGCTTTATTAGTCATGTGTGAGTGGTTTGTCTAGTTCACTCATGTATTTTGTCAACCCTTCACTTGGCGATGATCCGCTTCGCTCTTGGTTGCTTCACTAGTCACATGCAAGTAACTTGTCTAGTCTCACTCGTGCACTTTGTCAATCCTTCACTTAATGATGATCCGCTTCACCCTTGGTTCTCTCACTCATGCATTTTGTCCATCCTTCACTTGGTAATGTTCCGCTCCATCCATGGTTGCTTCGCTAGTCATGGGCAAGTGTTTTGTCGAAGTATTATGCTTGTGTTTTGTAAATCACTTACTTGGTGATGTTCCGTCTCACTCTTCGATGCTTCCACTTGTCATATATATGTGGTAAGAATATGTGCTTGTAACAGTTCGTACCCCCCCCGTGCTCTATTTGAACACCGCTTCTCCCCCCCGTGCTCTGTTTGAACACCACTTTAACCCCCCCGTGCTCTATTTAAACACCGCTTCTCTCCTTCCCATAACGAGTGTCGGGAATTGTGTCTTCTACGGGCCTAAGTTCTGGTTACCTACCCCACTCGTGTTCTATTTGAATCCCCTCTAATCAAACTCTAGACTAACTGAAACCATGCTTCTTATAATAAAAAAGAAGGCGGTGCGAACCGAAAAGGAGAAGTAGGTAGAAGGCGGCGGCTGCTGCTATTGCTGCTACTGCTAATAATGATGGGACTGCTGCTGCTGTTGTTGTTGCCTGACCAAGAACTTGGCTATCGCTGCTGCTGAAAACCGTTGTCTGGTCCCAAGCCAAAAGCCGGTCCGAAACGGTCAACTAACCGGCGTGAACAGGGGTGCCGAAAATCAACCCCGTCAAGCAAAGGGGTATGGGGGCCGAGACTTCACAGGCCCCATGTCCTAGGCATAGGTAGATGGCCTGCAAAATCACCAGGCCATCAGAGTCCATTTTCCCGCAAAAATGGAAAATGGTCTTCGCCATACTGTTCCTTGAGAGCCTCGAGTGACGACCGAAAAAGGCAACTAAGGGCAAACAGCGACGGAATGAGGCCCAACTTTAGGAGGGTCATCAATAGCCAACCACCTCACACCTTCTTCCTCCTTCACCTCTTACACCCATCCACCATAGCCAACCACCTCACACCTTCTTCCTCCTCCACCTCCACCCGTCCACCATAGCCAACCACCTACCACCTACCACGTTCCTCCTCCACCTCCATCACCCATCCACCATAGCCAACCACCTCACACCTTCTTCCTCCTCCACCTTCTACAC